TTGTTTGAATCTTTTCTCCAATAGTAAGAGATCATAGTTAAAAAAGAAATTTCCCCGCTGATATGGATAAAACCAAATAACTAGCATGAAAGAGTTACTTCTGTATTTCAGACAGCTTGCTTTGTGGGCGATTTAATATTAAAGGAAAAGCTTTACATAAATGAAATTTGAAAGTTTAATGAAAGCAAGAATGGCTCTCAGATTGGCAACTCCCAGAATTAGAAAAGGTTCCGAGAGCTCTCCTCCACAATGTTGGCAGAAACCAGAAATAAGTTGCATATAATTGGCTTGACTGGTTACAGGTCAGGGTTTACCTATTTAAACAAAGTCTTATCAGTTGGTTGTCTGTGACTGGCTAAATCTCATGTGCTTGTGAAGCGTTCAAACTCTTCTAGTCCTTAGCAAAATATATGCTCCTATGAATAGGCTTTCAGTTTGTGTATGAAATTAGGTTACAGGTATCTTGGAAACTGTAGCATGAAGGCATCTTCAGGTCAAATTTAAGATGAGGTTGTACTTAAGAAAGCCATTGCGCATTGTTAGCCATTCACTCCTATAGGCTTTCACTTATTCTTCTTTTAGATTGGTTCTGGATATGTATGTAGCCTGGGCTATTCTTGAATTCCCGATCCTTCTGCCTCAACCTGCCTACTGCAGGATTGTAGGTGTGTGCCACCATGCCAGTTTATGTCCTTGTATATTTTTGAATACTGATTGGGATGACCTCAGAACCTTTGTGGATGTGTTGTTGGTTGTTTTTGCTCTTTTGGTCTTTACTCTTTTGGGGTACCTGCTACCCAGCTCCCAAATAAATCACACACAAAGGCTTATTCTTAATTATAAACTCCCAGCCTTAGCTTGGCTTGTTTCTTGCCAGCTTTTCTTAACTTTAAATTATCCCATCTACCTTTTGCCTCTGATCTTTTACCTTTCTCTTACTTCTGTGTATCTTACTTTCACTCTTACTCCATGGCTGGCTGTGTGGCTGTGTGGCTGGCCCCTTCTTTTTTCGATCCTTGATCTCTTGCTCTTTCTTTCTTTTTTCTTTTAGATTCCTCTTTCTATTTATATTAAGTTATTCCTTAACTCTGCCTGCCAGCCCCACCTATCCTTTTCCTGCCTCAATACGGGCCATTCAGCTCTTCATTAGACCATCAGGTGTTTTAGACAGGCAAACTAACATAGCTTCACAGAGTTAAACAAATGCAACATAAAGGAATGCAACACATCTTTGCATCATTAAACAAATGTTTCAGAGCACAAAAAAGTAACATATTTAAAAATAATATTCTATATCATGGAAGCCTCAAATATCACTAAGAAATTTAATTAACATAGAAAATTGACACTGTCTGGACAACCTTAGAAGAAATGTATCAACAGGTTAGATTTATTTAAGAATAATAACAACACAGAACCTTTATTGGCTCCTTTGTTTATGCCACAGATTGTTCTCATTTAAATCCCTTGACAATTATATGAAAAATGCCCACTGTTATATCCACATTATAGTTAAAGAAAGCAAAAAAAGATTAAATTCTCTGTCCAATGGAGTAGTTAGGGCAGCATTCAACTCAAGCAGTTGGGCACAAGAACTACATACATGCTTAGAGAATTTAAACAAAACCCAACAAGGGCAGAGTTGGATAAATGTCAAAATACAGCAAAGTGTTACTGATAATCAAATTAAACTTCCCATTTTTATAGATGAGGCAATGACTCTTCAAAGCTACTAAACATATCCAAAGTCATGTAGCTAGTTACTGTGTGAATCAAGACTTTGTCTCCAGTTTCACACCCACCAACTCTTTTAGCTTCTTTTGCTGGGCCACCCTGAATGTGCTTCACAACAAAAACTGGGCACAAGAGAATGAGTAAATATAGTGACCATGGGCCAACCACAGAATTTATGTACAACCCAGACAAGTACATAAAACAATTCAAATTTTGGGCTAGCGCCTGTAGAAAGCATGCTTGCATTGCAGAAGGCCCTGATTTCAACCTCATGTACTCCTCTCTTCCAAAGTTAAAGTTGCTTTCAATAAAATCTGAAATGATGATTAAAAGACAAATTCAAGCATGCTTGGTGGCTGTGTTCGTTTACTTCTCTTATTACTGGGACAAAGTACTTGACAGAAGCAACTTAAACAGGGGAGGGGTGGTGGGTTTTTGTCTCATAGTTTGAGGGTATACCATCAGTCCATCAGGTGGGAAGGCATAATGGTAGGAGCAGCGGGCAGCTGAGGTCAAGAAACAGAGATAAACGTTAGTGCTCATCCCCCTTTCTCCTTTATATCTAATCTGACCCATGGCGTGGTTCTGTCTACATCCTGAGTGGGTTCTCCAGCCTCAGTGAAATGTCTTAGAAAATGCCTTCACAGACATACCCAGAGACATGTCTCCTAGATTTCTAGGGACTGCCATGTAGCTGGTATTTGAATGCTTGCTTAGCAAGTATGAGACCATAGCATCAACCCCCAGTTCAAGATAAATTCAGCTCTTAGTATCTTACTTCACAAACTTCAACAAAATACATTACATTTTTGTCTTTTGTTTTCTGCTTTTAAAAAAGGGTCTCATGTAGCCAAGGCTGCTTGGCCTCAAGCTTTCTATGTAGCCAAGGCACTCCTACCCCTGATTCTCCTGTCTCTGCCTTCCTGTGCTGGAACTACAAGGATGTACCACTATAGCTGGCTTAGTATTGTTCAACTTTTGAAAAGACCAGAATTTTGAATGCATTTTCCTCTTTCTATTTAAAAACGGGGGATAGCTCTTAGAAGCTTATTCTCAGATATTTTTTAATTGTAAGACAAAGTGAATGTATATTGCAAGTATCTTAGGAAAAGGATGGTTAATAGTATTTGTCACCAAAATATTAGTTTTAAGCTACTTGATTTATTTAATTTTAAGACAGAGTCTCTCTCTCTCTCTCCCTCTCTCTCTCTCTCTCTCTCTCTCTCTCTCTCTCTCTCCTAGGCTGGTCTGGAGATCACCATCATTCTGCCTCTGCCTCCAGAGTACTGAGGTTAACACATAGCATTCTCTTTCTGTCTCTGTCTCTCATAATGGTAAATCAGGTAGAACCCAGGGCCTCATCCAAACACTATCTCTGGGACACATCAGCCCCAGTGCAAAATCATTTTGAGACAGGATAGAAAAACCGGGACATTTTGGGTGATTCAAGAAGGGAGAAGAGCCCTTCATCCTGGAAACTGTTTGAAACCTATTGCTGGCAAAGAATCAAGAATTCTAGACAGTTAACAATTGCACAAGGCCTTTCTCTTTTAACCTATAAACCTCAAATTTTCTAGGAAAAAAAAAAACCCTTTGTGAAACTTCTGGTTTTACCCTTTCAGAGTATAATTCCTTTGAAGTTATCTCCCTGGACACCTTCTAATAATCTCTCTTATCAAAAGAAAGAGGAAAGGAGGAAGAAAGGTTTCTTAGAAACATTTTGAGATGTAACTTGAGAGTCTCCAAAATTGTTTGTGTGGCTAAAACATTTCTAGCCCCCCACCCCATCCCTTGAGGAACCCATACCAACACTTAGGTGCGTGTTTTCTTTCTGAATGCTGCTCTGTTAACACTCGCACTAAGCCTATATTAAAATATTTTTATTAAACCCCACCTGTGCTTCATAAACTGGATAGTCCTGAAATTCTTTTCTGCACCCAAGCTCCAAATTCCGGTTTGGCCTGAAGTTTCTAATCTAGGCAAACTCCTTGGGCCGCTGAGGGCGTCAGCGCTGAGCTGTCTCTCTGACCCCTCACCTCTGTCAATATTACTGCAACAAAGTTCCTAGTTCTATTCATCCATTTGAAACTTTCTTGAACACTTTGGATTAAGTTTGTGCCAGACCTTTGAGATAGAGAGGAACAGAACAGTCTGTCCCTAAGAGGGGAAGCCATTTTAGTAGGTATTTGTTAACAATAATAATAATAACAATACTGGTGTCAAAACATAATGAGAACTGGATCTCATTATTGGTGCCTGACAACTTATTTTGAGTTTCTTGTGTTCTTTTTCCAAAACAAAGTAGGACTGGTGGGTTATTAGTATCGGCAGTATTTAATAATTATGTTGGTTATATAAAAAATACATCAATTAGTATTACTGAAGAGCTTAAACCTTTTAAAATGATCTCGTTCAGCGACTTGGAAATGCGCAGGCATAACCGCGACAAGGCTTCAAGGGTCACTTTTACAGAGTCTCACACGGTGCCTGCGGGGGGAGCGGTGCATCTTGGGAGTTGTAGTCAGGATCAAGGAAAGGGCGACTCCGCCCTGTTGAACTTTCGGTCCCGACAGCTCGGTGGAACCCTTACCAAAAGCACAAGTTGGTAACTTTTAGGTTAAGTCTGGGCTCTTACTGTCTAACCCTAGACTCAGGGTGCGAAGAGACTCACACGGAGGGCAGGCCCACAAGCCTCAAAGCGATTGGCCTCCCTTCAGGATGGGGCGGGGCTCCAGGTACCTCCGCGTCTCGGGATTGGCTGAACTCCCGGCTCGAAAAGGCGTTGCGGCTCTTGCATACTGTTGGGGCTCTGGGGAGCTCAGCGGCAAGTCTCGCGATACTTCGGTCGCCCAGGGCTGGAGCCGCGTAGCCAGCGGTGGCGAGCTGGTCGAGGGCGGCGGGACCGCGGCCGGGGAAGGGGCCGGTCTGGTGGGAGCCGCGCGCGCCGCCGGGCCTCTTGGGGCCGGGTGTCCCGCCGAGCCGGCTCGGGCGTAGCGTGCGGACAGCGCGGCATCTCCCCTCCACCCCTTCCACCCCGGGGAGGCTCCGGCCCGGGGGCAGATCGGTGAGCGGACGCCGCCGCCGTGCTGTTTCACCTGGGCAGCCGTGACAGGTGCCGAGCGGCGCGGCGCCGCCCTCGCTCCCC